AGAAATAGTTTTCTAAATAAGGTAACTAAACATTTTTCGACCAAATCTTTGACCTCACTATTAAAAAGTTTGCAGGGCACCATAAAATGTACGTAACTCGCCAAATAATTATTTATTTTTGCCAATCTGTAGGGTGTGGGTTAAAATACTAAACAACAAAAATAAAAAATAAAAATAATTTACACTCTAATTCGAACAAGCGAGATTCGAACCCGCGCGCTCCGTCGTGGTTGACGAATGTTCTTACCATTAGGTTAATTTTAAGGTACCGTAGCTACGAAATCACCAATCATATCGCACGCGCAATTAAAGTTTGATCGCTAATGATTATAATTGATAACTAAACTGTATGTATATTCAGGGTTATTTTTTAAAGAGTAGTCAAATTTTAAGCTTAAGTTCAAATATATAAATAATGATATACTGTTATTCAGTTTTTGAATAACAGTATATCATTATTTATATATTTATATAAATCTTTATATAAATCAATTACGTCTCAACTAAAAGAAAATTCTTTTCAAAATTTGAATTACCCGATTCATTTACCCATTCCTCTCGACCTTATCCTAAATTTGATTTAAAAAAGTAATTGAATCAAAATTAATGGACGGCGACTTAAAAAATGCATCCCGTATTTTATTCTCAGATGACATCCTCGCTCCTTGTAATGTCGAAACTCTTGAAGGCCTTCGTCAGAAACATCCTTCGGTCAATCCTTCCCAGAATTTACCGCTGCCTCCCAATACTTTTATGCAACCATTACAAGTTTCCGAAAAAGACATTTTAGACGCAATATTGTCATTTTCGAATGGCTCTGCCGGCGGCATTGACGGGATTACGCCTCAGCATCTCAAAGACCTTGTAAGCGTATCTGCCGGTCACGCCGGTAGGGTACTTCTTAATGACATAACAAAATTATGTAATTTTATGCTTTCTGATAATGTCAATCCCAATTTCATTCCCTACTTATATGGGGCAAGATTGTGTGCCTTCAAAAAAAAGGATAACGGTATCCGTCCTGTTGCTGTTGGTTCTACATTTCGACGCTTAACTTCAAAATTAGTTGCAGGCACATAATCTCAAACCGCAAGACAAAATTTAAACCTACTCAACTAGGCTTTGGCACCAAAGGTGGCTGTAAAGCGGCGGTACATTCGGTGCGTACTTTCTTAACTAATTCCAATGCAGATGTTCTTCTGAAGGTTGATCTTAGAAATGCTTTTAACTCTATTGATAGGATAACCCTGCTGAAACAAGTGGCTAACAATACCCACGAAATATATCATTACGTTTGGCAATGTTACAGTCAAAATTCAAACTTGTTTTATCAAAACCATATTATTGAGTCTGCTGTCGGTGTTCAGCAGGGTGATCCATTAGGTCCAGCTCTTTTCAGTTTGGGAATTCAATCTCATTATTCTCTAAACCATTTCCCATTATCTGGGGTCGGCGCAGTAAATCTTCTTGTTCCATTCCTCTCTATCAGCCGTCATTTCCATACTTACTCCTTTCATTCTCATATCACTCTTCACACAATCGATCCATCTTTTATTCGGCCTTCCTCTGCCCGTGTGTCCCTCCACATTTTTTGAATTTCCCACACAGTTTGGGAATTCAATCTATTATTTCAAATTTAAAATCCAAGCTGAATGTCTGGTATCTGGACGACGGTACACTGGGAGGTAAAGCAGATGACGTCCTCAATCATATTTTTCAAAATTTTAAAAATATTGGTCTTGAACCAAATACCAATAAATGTAAAATATTTATTTCCAATAATTTACCTAATTCTAACAGAGATACCTTAATTCAAAATTTCAATCAGATTTCTCCAAAAATTTTTGGTTTTTTTTTTGCTGATTTTCATACTTGTTACGCTCAAGTCCAGTCTGGAAATGTTCGGATATTTTAAAAGATATTGATAGTAATCTTAAAATTGCTTTAGAAAACATTCTAAATTTGAGATTAAATACAATAGCCTGGAATCAAACCACTTTACCTATCAAATTTGGTGGAATTGGTGTAAGAAATATTTCTAGGGTCGCATTGCCTGCTTTCCTTGCTTCCGTGCATAGTGTCAATGACCTATGTAACACAATTTTAAATAATAAAGTAGACCTGTGCTTTGCTGCGGAGGCAAAGCAAACATGGCTAACACTCTGTTCCGGCGAAAATGTCCCACTGGAAGTTAACCAACAAAAACAGTGGGATATTCCGTTGGTACGGAGTGTCCAGAAAAATTTATTTCAAAATTTCCATATTCAACAAGATCAGGCTCGCCTTCTAGCTGTTTCGACTAAGGAATCTAGCCACTGGTTACATGCTCTACCATCAAGTAATCTCGGTACATTGCTTGATGGGGAATGCTTGCGCATCGCCGTAGGAATCCGGCTAGGAGTGGCAATTTTCAACCTCACCAGTGCCTATGACTTTGGTCCCTTGGGAGAGGTAAAGCTCTAGTGTGGAATGCTACTTGCGTTGACACTTTGGCGGCCTCTCATCTCAAGGGTACCTCTTTTAGAGCCGGGGCGGCATCAGAGGCAGCCGAATTTAGCAAATGGCGCAAATATGAGTCTTTGAGAAATGACTACATATTTGTGCCATTTGCTGTAGAGACTATCGGTCCGTGGGGTCCACGTACAATAAAGTTTCTAAAGGAACTGTATCCACGACTGGTCGTCGCTGCTGGCGATAAGAGGGCTGGTTCTTTCCTCGCTCAAAGGCTAAGTATAGCTATTCAGCGAGGAAACGCAGCCAGCGTTCTTGGCACTATACCACGGGGAGCAGGTCTTTTTGACGATTTAAATTTTTAGTTTTAGATTTTCTATATTATAGTTTCTTCTTTTATTTTGTATATAATTAGTTTTAATCGTAAATATTATAATTTTAATTATTATTTTAGTTAAGTTCTTTATTATAATTTTTGTAATCTAGATCTAAATTAAATTAAAATAATTAAATTTCATTTAATGTATAAAATTCGCGTAAATTATATAAGTTTTTGAAAATACGAGTAAATAACGCTTCTAATTTTATTTGAAATTATTCCAAATTTAACGTGATTTATGGGCAACAACGTTTTTGCCTACCGACTGACCCTTACGAATGTGTGAGTGTGCAGCACTAAATAAAATGATGCATTACCACGCATTTCAAATTTAAAAGATAAAAAGGACAGAGTTTGAGATTTTTTTTAATTTTCTCTACCATTTGCCTATATTACTTATTTTGAAGCTTCCCTGCAAATTTGGCCGGTTATCGTAAAACAACCCCGTTTATGCGAAATACCACTGAATGATGCCGAGATCTCTAAAACACCCAATTGATTTGAAATTTAGTATAGTTACTCATTTCGCAACGGTCCAAAAAAAATCTTGATATTTTACTTCCAGGTTTTGCAATAAAATATTGTGCGCCCAGCGAATCAGCGTATCAGCTAGTTAAAATATAAAGGTACTTCAACAAAGATAACAAGTAGTCGTTAGATATTCTACACAACCCGCCTGCCAAACGTGACATCTGTGGTAAAATCCCCCGATATGAATGAGGCCTATGTTCAGTGTTGGGACTTTCATAGTGCGACGGCGCATTATTATTAAGTATAATTAATTAATTTCTATATAAAACCGTCAAAATTATCCTATAAAAATATATTAAACAATAAAAATACATAAATAAGCATAAAGTTAAAATAAATACATTTTGGACGTTAAGAATTATAGTGAATTAAAGGCTTAATATTGCCTTTCAAAATCAATAAATTTATTAAAAACTTTGTTAAAATATTCAAAATATGATAAATAATAGAAGTACAAGTTAAAAATATTATTACAATAAAGATAAATAACATTTATAAAATAATTCGAAAATTGGTCAAAAATTGCCTAAATCATGGAGCATGTTTGCGTATAAGAAAATTTCTTATGTTGTGGAGGGTGCTCGTGTATAGATTGCTTGTATCGGAGAGGTGCCGGAGACGCATACCCAAGGGTGTACATACTCGTATATAAAGGGTTGTCGGGTGACCAACTACTTATAGTACTGTTGCACAATGTATAGTCCTATATTAGGGACTTATGATAGTAAGGTCTACTAAAGCATTATTATAGAAGGTATCTATAACGCACAAGCATTACCATAGTAGAGTTGTGGATTGAAGTCCCATATGCTAAAGACTAACGATAGTAAGATCTGTGATACAAAAGCATTATTATAAAAGGTCTGTATGATGAATAAGCATTACAATAGTAGAGTTGTGGGTTGAGGTCCCATATATTAACGACATGACTGCCTCGTTGGTCTAGTGGTTGTAGTAGTGCGACTGCTGATCATGATGTCCTGGGTTCGAATCCTGGGTTGGACCAAAAAATTAATTATTCAGTTTTTCCGTCAAGAAATTCTCAGTAGTTGCCCCGGAGTCAGAAAGTTGGCGGTGTATCAAAACAAATCTTGAGCACATCTACATTGTAATTGAATGGAAGGACAATTTTTCCATTCGATCACTACATGAATTATAAACTACAGAACAAACCATTTAGTTTAAATGCGTGATGTGCCCACAACAAAGGGGTAAACTTGCTGAGCGTCTGCTTGTCCGATGGTGGGAGGAGGAGGGGAGAATTTAGTCATGCAATCCATGCGCACACTCTATTCCTGCTGTTGAGTAGATCAGAAGCATCCCATCTATCTCCTAAAGGTGACCACCGTATGTTTTTATGACCACATCTTTGTTTATGGCTACCAGTGATATCCACACTCAATAACAACCCTCCAGTAATCTCGCTTCAATCATCATTAATTTCATTACTCTATAAAAAGTCTACTGCTGAACGAATGGTTGGCAAATTATCAGGAATATCCTCATGATGAGAGCGTTATTATAAGTTGCAGAGACAATTTATCATCAGGTAGACTGTGAGCCTGCTTATCACACAAAAACTCGCTGTTACTATCGTTTCTGAAAAGGCTAGGTAAATTTTTTTTTTAAATCAAACTTCCTACGTGTTAGTCACGCGGTTTTCGTCAAATTCAATCTTATCTGGCTGCTGGTAGACAAGAAGGACGTATCGGTGTAGACCGGTGCCCGGTCTTGGTCCAGCGCCAGAGTATTCGGTGAGGACGTCGCCTTTAGAAACGTCCGATCCAGGAACGTTGCCGACCAGCCAGTGTTGCCATTCACTATCTCGCGCATCAGGGCCTGGAAGCAGAGAGACGATGATACGTGAAATGAAATATATTTGAAATTAAATTTATTTATACTTTCGACATAACAAAATAAAATTTCGTTCATCAAATGTCTCTTTTTTTCAAATCTACTACCGTTTCGAAATTGGGTTTCTCTGACGGAAGAAGATACAGCGAAATAAACTGCGCAGGTATCCTCTTTTCACCACGTGTTAGTGATACATATATTTAATTCTGTTAAAGTTTAGCCTTAGATTCCACAAGGCACAAGGCTCCTTCCATTTATGAGAATGGTTTTAGAACACAGGACATTTGTCCGCGGCGCTGACCCAATACGTGTTATAAGACTCCACATGTTTTGAAATACTATTTTATAGCTCTGTCAGATAAGTTTCCTAAAGTTTTCCTTCACCGCCGAGGATGACAAGCGAGCACACACCCCACCTGATGGTAATTGACGGCCCATAGACATCTACAGCCATCTTCGATTGAGAATCAAAATGCAGATGGGTTGTCATCTCTGAGGACTAAAGAGACTAGAGGGTGGAAATGCCTTGTATCCAGTAAAAAGTTTATTAACTAAACAAAAAAAACTAATACGGATCATTGCTAATCTACAAAACACAGAAAGCTGTAAGCCTTACTTTAAGAAGTATAACATTTTAAGTCTGCCCTGTATCTATATTTTGGAACTATGCAAATTTGTCCAAAAACATCCAAGCTTGTACACAAAACGCGATGACATCATATCTAGGAATCTAAGACAGAGAAACAAACTAGTGCTACCAACTTCAAAACTAAAATCTCACTCATCCAGCCCATTTGCCATGTCTATAAAAGTTTATAATAAATTACCCGAATATATAAAAAACATTAAGAACGAAAAACCATTTGAAAAAAAATTAAAGCAACTACTTATAAACAAGTGTTACTATAGTACTTCTGAATTTTTAGAAGATAAAAATATAATATAATATAGATAAAAATATAAATGTTAGGTAATAACACCCTACATACACAATATAATAACGCTTTTAGATTGTTGCAGGGGCTCCCACGTTACTGTAGTGCATCAGGTATGTTTATTGACGCCCACGTAGACAATTTTTCAACACTTATTCGCAAAAGAACTGCGTCTCTGATGCACAGGGTTCGTGGGAGCGCCAACAGCATTCTTAACGTAATTAGTGAGAAACCCGAGTGTGCTTTTTTTGAGGCACTGGGTTCATGTCCATGTACCCATTACCTCGGACCGGCACCTCAGGTATATGAACTAATTTATTACCTAATTTTACTTACATATATTTAAGACTTTTTCTTTGTATTTTTTAAAAATAATATTGTATTGTATCATTATGGCAAGTTTTGTTGGTGGTTTTGTTAATATATAATTAAATCGGATATGATGTATGTGTAAGGGTGAAATAGATTTACGTTATTTTATTATTATTAAATTATTATTTTATTTTCGATATTATTATAAATACTTACGCATTTGATATAATTAATATTAGTAATGATTTATAATTTTAGTATTAGAATAAATGTTAATGTATGTTATTTTACCCTATGATCCTTGTTGATTGAAATAAATTAATAAATAAATAAATAAATAAAAATAAGGAAATGCCATTCTACTAAATAAATTACAATAAAAAATTATAATAAAATTTAAAATGATTCAAATAATTTAATAAAAATTCAATTATGCTACCTATAATAATATATTAAATGTCAAAATCAATTAATAAATAATAACAATTATAATAGCCGTATTCCATATTCAATGTGTGTATGTTTATATAATATGTTGTTGAAAGGAAAAAAGAAAGAAAGAACGGATAAGAATGATAGAAGGATATCTGATAATTTCCTGGCTAACATAAAAATGTTCTGGAAACTCGTAAGAACTGCCAGGGGAAATACAAAACAGCCTATAATAAATGCTATAAGAGACGAGAATGGATGTATTCTGAATGATGAAGTTTCGAATTTAAACAGATGGAAGGAATACTTTGAAAGCGTGTTTATGAGAGAAGAGTCGTATGAATTAAATGAACTAGAAATTCCGAAAGAAGTGGAAAGGGGTATGGAGATAAGTGTAGATGAAATAATGAAAGCAATGAAAAGCATGAAAGCAGGTAAGGCAGCTGGATATGATAGAGTATCACTCGAGATGCTAAGGGCTGGAGAGGGAGTGGTGGCAGGCCTGCTGTACACCTTGTTTAATTTATGTTGGGAATTAAAACGGGTACCGGATGACTGGTGTAAAGCAGTTATAGTACCAATATATAAAGGAAAAGGGTCACAGCAGGACTGCAAAAACTACCGCGGTATCAGCTTGCTTAGTATTGTGGGTAAACTGTATGCTAAGGTGTTAATTGAAAGAGTTATGAAAGAAACTGATGGAAAAATTTGGGATGTGCAAGCGGGTTTTAGAAAGGGAATGGGGTGTACAGATCAAGTCTTTCCCATGCGCATGATTGCGGAGAAGTTTTTGGCCAAAAACCAGAAAGTTTTTTGTGCGTTCATGGACTTGGAAAAGGCTTATGACAGAGTGGACAGGAATGTGTTATGGCAAACACTGAACTCATATGGGTTGAGCGCTGGTTTGATACAGGCATTAAGGTCTCTTTATAGGGACTCTAGTGCTTGTGTCAGGATCAATGGGGTCTACTCGGACTGGTTTGGCATCCAAAAAGGTGTCAGACAGGGCTGTGTGGCTTCCCCTTGGCTGTTCAACCTATTTATGGACCGGTGTTTGCAAACTTTGAAAGATGAAGAATGTGGGTTAAGAATGGGCGAGTTAACCGTCAAATGCCTTTTGTATGCCGATGATCAAGTCATACTTGCGTCATCGGCGGCAGAGTTGCAAATGATGGTTACATTAATGAACTGGGAATTAAAAGAAAGGGGAATGAAAGTGAACGCAAGTAAGACGAAAGTGATGGTTTTTGAAAGAGAAGAAAGCAAAACGGTATGTGAAATAAGAATAGAAGGAGAGTTGATTGAGCAAGTGGATGAGTATATGTATTTGGGATGTGTATTTAGCAGGGATGGTAGATATGATAGGGATATAGAACGACGAGTAAATGCAGGGAATAGAGTGAATGGGACACTACACTCTATTATGAAGAACCAGAATTTGTCAAAACAGGCACGTATGGTAATTCATAATGCTGTATTAGTCCCTACTTTAATGTATGGTAGTGAAAGCTGGGTGTGGCAGAAGAAGCACGAAAGTAGAATAAATGCTGTAGAAATGCGGTCTTTAAGGAATATGCTAGGGTGTAATCTGAATGACAGGGTGAGAAATTGCGTGATAAGAGATAAATGTGGTATGCAAGATGATGTTGTGACCAGGATTAAGAAAGGAATGCTTCGGTGGTTTGGTCACGTAGAAAGAATGAATGAGGAAAGAGTGACAAAGCAAATTTATATGGCAGATGTGAATGGCCGAGTCGGGAAGGGACGCCCTAGAAAAAAGTTTATCGACCAGATTGGCGATGTTTTGAAAATGGGCCACGTTAGAAGTACCCTTAACCGACGAGCATGTATGCGTAGGTGTATGGATGTGAAGGAAGCGAGAGAGGTGTGTCAGGATCGTGCCAAATGGAAATCTGTAGTCTCTGCCTACCCCTCTGGGTGACAGGCGTGATTGTTTATGGATTGTTTATGGTAAATGTCAAAATCAATTAATAAATAATAACAATTATAATAGCCGTATTCCATATTCAATGTGTGTATGTTTATATAATATAATGAATGTGAATATTAAATAATTATTTAGCAATAATAATAATAAAACAAAATAAATTTTCCTCCTTCATAATATTGCTGTGCGCATGAGGGTCTATAGAGATACCATAACTATGTAACACCTTTTGTAACCTATGGAATGCAATAAAGTTATTGAGTATTGAAAAGGATGTCCGATTCTCTACACTCACTATAAATGTAATACAGTAGCATTAAGCTGCTATTTTACGCTAGTGTTCTGTAAGAGCGTGGTCCTTCCCCGGTCGAGCTGACCCGTTCGTACTATAACCATAAGATAGCTGCAGTATGACTTTACCGCGTAAATCAGTACTTAAAATTGCAATTAACAATTTAATTTATGCTGGCAGGATTAGAACCTTGACTGCTCAAGTACTGTGAAATTTACGACAAGCGCTGCTGTCCTGGCTACCATGGCTCTACCACCTCCATCTATTTTAAACGTAAAATTTAACATATCAGAAATATGGAGAATGTCAGTGCTACACATACCAGTCATAGCGACGGTGTAGAAGGCATTCTGCTCAGCGTCCCACGACACAGTGGGCTCGTCCTTCACTTGTGTTGGAGTGAGCTCATTGCCTTCATCCACTTCAACTCCGCTTGGATAGGTCACCTGAAATAAAAAACAATTTTAGTATTATTTATTTCAATTGTTGTGGAATATTATTATTTCTGGGGTATCTGTATAACACCCTTTTCTCATCTGGTACGAATATTATTATTATTATTATGCTAGACAGAAATTTAAATTTAAAAATCACACACAATTACTCTCTAGGCAGAGTACACTAAACAATCTAATTTAATATAATACGTATTACTTGTGAGATACATTGTGTTTTCATGCGATGGCCAAGTCAATATACTTATTTAAAACATAAAAGATTTTTAATATTGATATGGCCACTATAAGATGTTATTAGGTTAGCTAATTACATAACAACCTTAAAACAGAAAGACCCTTAAGTAGGGACTGAATAAATTAACCGAATTGGTATTACACGCATCTCACAACTTTTTACGGTAGAAAAACGGAGTAGCGAGACTTGTTTTTTTTTACAAGTTATGTTTTTGATGGCATCTTATTTCTTTTTGTAAATAGTCCTACTTTTTGTCTTTTCTGGTACCTTCTACTTCTTGAATACGTACAACATACCTATCTACACCTATTATGCCATTATATTATACATATAGAGGTACAATGACTCATTCACTGCAAATGTAACTTTGTAATCCTATATATTTATATAGATTACAAAGTTATTTATGCAGTTAGTGTCTAGAAAACTGGACTGAAATTGCAAAATATATTAGTTTTCCCTTGATTTATACACTAAACACTAATTGAACTCTAAATTTGAAGCTTTTATGTCTGCTAGAAGTGCCTTAGAGTTTTGATGATCGGTCAGTCAGTCAATGAGTGACAAAATTAAAAAACTTTGGCTAGTTATAATTCTTAAACTACTAGTTCAAATTAAACGAAATTTGAAATATACCATATTTATAGTTTAGAGAATGCCTACTTGGGTACTGAAAATTCAAGCTTCTTGTTTTATCCATAACGAAGTTATAGGGGGGGAGGGGTCGAAAATGGCCTGAACTGCTTCGAGAAAACGGCCGTGCCGCTTTTTTGCTCGACTTGGCGGGGCACTGCCGTGCCCCCAGATCTGTTAAAGGATGGATATGTGTGGAATATTTGAATGGGTTGCCTGACACAGATGCTGAATTTTCATAACCATAATAATCCTTTAAATTGAGATCAATTACAACTAGCGGTAATTTTCAAGAGTGTTAATGGAGGATATCAAATTACGAGTACGAAATGTTAGGACTTTTAATAAAATAAATTTTTCAAATGCAAAAAGTGCGTCATACACAATGAAAATAAATTGCGACCGAGTTCATAGGTTCACACAGGATTTGTAAATATTCGATACTTATTATAGATACCAAAATATTTGATTTCGCATACGCGATACATCCGATAAATATTTTTATTTCGTACTAAAATTTCTTTATTACGAAAATTATCGCTTTATGTACGAACAAATTTATGTAGACTAAGGGTGATAAACGAGAACACAGTCTACCTGATAAGTGGATGTCGAGGCCCATAGACACTCTCACACTCGCTGGTATTCTATGAGAGCGTGGTCTCTGTCCGATAGAGCCAAACCATCGATGCTGGTACCTGAATGTAGCAGCAGTGTGGCTCTACCACTACTTATATCTCCGGACCCGATTCACATATTCTTCTATCTAATAGACCATTTTCAAATCTAATAGACCATTTATGTCATTAAAATGGGGTTATCTCTTTTTAACTTATTACAATCCAGTGCTGACCATCTCATCTGGTGGTTAGTTATGATGCAGCCAGTAGTAAATCGCACTGTCTTAGCCTAACAAAATTGATTGTATCAAACCCTACCCGCCCAACAAGAGTGATGTTTTAACAGAGACTCGTCAGACGCAGTACGTTGGCGTCTATCAAGACACCAGTTACAAAGGTAGAAAAAGTATAGATTTTGAAAGCGTGCGTGAGGTATTAGTTAACGCTTCTACGTTCCACCAATTATTTCGTATGAGTTGTTCCGGTGCTTTATAGTACTCTTAGTAGTCTTTATACGTGGTAGAGCCATGCTGCAGTTATATTAGAAGTATAGTTGTAGCACAAATGGGTCGGCTCGACCGGGGAAGGACCACGCTCTCACAGAATACCAGCGTGAAATAGTAGCTTAATGCTGTGTTTCGTATGGTGAGTGTAGAGAACAGACGACCCTTTTTACTGGAAACGAGGCATTCCATCTTAGTCCTCACGGGTGGCAACGCATCTGCATTTTGATTCGTAATCGAGGATAGATGTAGATGTCTATGGGCCACAGCAACCACTTACCATCAGGTAGACTGTGTGCTCGTTTATCACCATATTCTATAAAAAAAAGTACATCAACTACAATAATATGTCCTGCGATGTGAAATCATAAAATTGCTTCATTCGTAAAAAATTAAATTGCTGTTAAATAATTGACACATATAATTTAGTATCACTGACTTTTAATAAAATGCCATCACCGTGACGGGATAATAAGTCTTATATTGTAATGCACAGGGCCGATCTAGCTATTTAGCTGCTCCGGGCGAAGATAATTTTCGCCGCCCTTTACATACGCAAAATCGTGTAAGTAAAGCTAGTTATGTTGCGAGATGTTAAGTGATATTGTTGGGATTATACTATAATATTCACTATAATATTCTCGTCAGTCTATTGGGCCTTCTGAAGAAGTACCTATACGTAAGTTTACGAGTGTTTTTATGTTCGTGTGTATACAATGTATGTATTTTAAAGAATTTCACAGAGACTACTGAATGGATTATTATATATATTTATTTTTATTTTTGTGACTTATAAAATAAAAAAGTTCATCAAAATCATTTCAGAAGTTAAAAAGATTAGGATCAAGCTATTCAATTGTTTATTATGGTCAGTCGGTTCATATGTATTTAAGTTAAAGTCCGTACGGTACGTATAAAAAAGACAGCAAAAGGTTTGTTTTGAAATTTAATACTGATAAAAAAACAATAACATTACTACAAAACAAATCATTCATTTTTTGAAATAATGAAACTGTGTAAATTAAACAGTTTTTCGGAGAATATCAAATCCTACCTCGTAATTATAGTAATTTTCTTCGCACTTTTTGTTCTGCAAAATATTTAATAAAATGTGTGAAATTTCTACTGTCGCAAACCTTGTGTTCTATTATAACCAATTCAGATAATCTATTCTGTGTCGTGGTGGATCGCAGATAATTTTTTATTATTTTTAGTTTAGAAAAGCTTCCTTCACCACTTGCAACTGTTAATGTTAAAGTTAAAAGGATCCTAAGTGCAATACTGATATTTGGACCAAATCTTAAATCTGTTACAAATTTTAACACATTTTAAGGGGATAAATTACTCGTACTATTTAAACACATGAAAAAGACTGACAACTACTCACAAAGTTTTAATACATTTATATCGCTCGAGTTCTTATGAGTTAAAATAGCCTCGAGGTTCTTACAATGTTCTAACAATTCATTTTTGGGACATATATGTTATACAAAAAAGCAAAATGTTTACTGTGCTCAGAAATCTGGGAAAATCTTAAGGAGTTTATGGGTGTATCCATAATGTGAAAAAATACTTCAATTTTATATTTTTGAAGAGGCTCAATAATTGTGTTACGAGCTTACGGTTTGTAACAATAAAAACTGCCGATTGAATTACCAAAATTGACACCAAGTAAAACCATTCTCGGATCTTCAGTAGAGTTTGTTTAACTGCCAAATGGACTCCTCAACAACCATTATAGTACAGCTGTAGAACATGCAGTACTTTAGCTTTAGGGACAACCATTTGCATGCCGCCCAGCTGTCTCCCCAACTATTTTTCCATTTACGGCACAATACTCAATCCTGAATCACCAATCTGTCCCATCGGGCCCAATGGCTTTTCGTGGTTGTGCTCATCACTGAGACGTCGCTCCACTTGGGCTTGGGAGCACTGGCCTTCATCCATTCCAGAATCGGCTTTATGTCCAAATCTTCCTGCTGTGCATGTTGTAGGCTGTCCTTTCACTCGCTGCTGATGTGGTCTGTCCTGAGCATCTTCACAGATACCACTTCCTTACCCTCTTGCTTAATACAATGCTTGTATTCTTGAGGACAAGGTCTTCTTGACCATGGATCTGCGTTGCCATGAGATTTCCCGCTGCGATATTCAATCTCAAAGTCGTATTCCTGCTGCTGCTGGGTGGTACTGTTCGCCGCATAACCCTCTAGAGATCGATCACCTTCCCTTTTTACAGTTCGCTTAGGGCAGCTGGATCATAAATGGCCCCTTTCCTGTACTGTACTGTAGCTGCTGCAACCTCTGATTCTTTAATTCTGTTTCACTTATTAACCGCTCCATTATTCACGAATATGACAAAAATTTGTCTCTAGGGCAGAATATTTTTACTAGGAGTCTTCTAAATAAGTAATGGAAAAATAGTACAATCTTTTACTTATATATGATATTTAAGGGATTCCCCTAAAATTTCGCGTTGTACGCTTGTAGCTAAAGGGTATTCTTCCGAAAGTTTGAGGGAAATCCCCATCAAACATAAACAGACTGAAAAAGTTGCCTGAACTGGCAAAATGTAAAATCGGCAGAAAATTCTGAAGAATTTTTTTGTATTCTAGTTTCTAATTTCTAGTCTAGTTGGTTCCTTATTTCTTATTTAGGTATTTCTTCTTCTTAGTCTTCCACAAAATTTTTTGATTTATCGATACTGAGAAAAGTATCGATATTGTTAGGTATTGAGTATTTTTCAATTTATTTTTAAAACTTCCGATTGAGTTATATCCGTAATATCAAATATTATCCGAGAAATTTCGAAACTTGGAGTTCGGAACTTATCACCAATGAAGCACTTAATAATGATTTCAAACTAACTAAATTTAAATTTCGACGTATTAAATTGTCGGTACAAAAATAAGTTAGAGCAACAGTAAAAAAGTAAATCAGGATTAAACAGTATTAAATTATTTTTACGTAATTGATAAAAATAAATCTACTAAATAGTTACCAATCACGAAAAACTGGCAACACACTCTCTAAACATAAGCTATTGTCTATAGAAGGGTAACCCCCTACTCCTACGACCCAAATCCAATGATGTAATGATTACTTATAAGTACTTATAAAAGTACCGAACCTTATGAGTACTTATAAAAGTACCGAAACCTCAAAATATCGGATTTAAAGTATCGTGTCTAAAAATACAATAACATCGAAATGAAAGTATCGATACTACTCAAGTATCGGTACTTTTTGCGGATCCCTATTTCTTCTTTCTTTCTTTCTTTCGAACTAAAATAATTCAGTTAAGTGAAATACTTAAATATTTCCACTATCCAACCTGAAGTAGGTTGGAAGGTGGCACATAAAATTCTCAACCTGCCAACTTGGGTGGTGGATCGCTAATGGCTAGGTTGGAAGATAGGAATAAGTCAATTTTGCCGACCCTCATTTTTTGCCGCTCTGGGCAAATGCCCGGCTTGCTCCCTTAGATCGGGCCCTGATATTGCATCAACATCAACTCTTATTAATTTTAATAATTACTATATAGGTATGTTTTCCTATTCCGGTTTTTCACAGTAATAATTTCCGAATGCTAGGTTTTTGTTATTACCCATATTACAATATCCCAATTGGCTGTATTGGTGGAGGCGGCTCTACATGGCCACTCAGAACGGGCTCTTGTTTATGAAGCGGTAATGATGTAGCTAGGGGGCATTTTGTCGGTATGTAGTTGGTATTACTGATTAAATAAGACCCCAGGGGCCGGAAAGGCCGATATTTTCGAGTACGCTTTTCGCGTCCCTATAGATTCGAGATAGTGAAGGTAGGCGAATCCGGTACCCCAGCGCAGTTATGCTGTGATGAAAAGAGGGAGGTTGATAGCCGGTGCCGGAGGACTTGTGGTCATTCAAGGCGTTTCCAGGACTTTTGATTTTACTATTCTACGCGAGGGCTCGACTACTATCCTACCTGATGGCAAGTGCAGCCGCAGGTGGTAAAGTGGACTGACTTAACAAAAACCTATTCACTGTTGCTTTGAAGACACCCACATTGTAATAGGATGGAAAGACAGATGCTGGAAACTTAATTCACTCCTTGACTGAACGCATAACCAGCAATGATGCAGAGGAAGTAGCGTGGTAAGTCGACAACGAAAGAGGGGAGACTGACCAAGCAGCCATCCGATGATGAAAGGGAAAGAAGGAATCTATGCAGCATTGAATCACAATAATCAGTACAATTCCGACTAGTCCTTAACCATCCAAGGAATAGAAATATCCATAAAAACTGCGTTGGAAATGGAATATCAGAGTAGCGTTTTATAAAATATCATAACATCCTATCGTATCATCTCATTTTATTTAAGTACTCAATATAATAGATATAGGCGAAGGTCCGTGTCAACACTTGTGACAAATAAAGCCACTCAATAAAGTTAAAGCTATGCGCCTTTTTTATTTTTTGGTAATAATTGAAAAAAGTTGCTGCCAATGTCCTGGTTAGTTTTCCTCTTCGCCTCTTACGTCAGCCCACAGGAAGATATCGATCGACAACTAGAGCCAACTGCAGTCAAACATTTGACATTTGATTGACATACCAGTGGACTCAGAACCAGTGTTGCCAACTTGGAGTTTTAGAGCTAGATGAATAGTTACATAATATGACGCGAATAAACAGAAGAACAAAGTTACTTGTTTAGTTAGTGTTTCGATTGTGAATGTAGATGCCTCAAGATAATTTCTTTACAAGGTGAAACCTATTTTACGCTGGTATTCTGCGACGGCGTGGTTCTTCCCCGATCGAGCCGATCCATTCGTGCTACTTCTGATAGAGTTGCAGCATGGCTCTGCCACGTATAAAAGGTAGTGGATTAGATGGATTATACCACGCTGGCACTTTACAAGAATAATATTTTTTCTTTATTGTAATACGCTACAACTAAAGTAACAATGGGCGGACTTTATGCCTGTAGATTTTTCTGCCAGTCAATCCAGTGATCAGTAATGTCTTTCACACCGAATTTCGGTTACAGCGGCCAATCTCAACGGAGACCAACCTTCTGCATAGGACAGGATTATAGCCTGATGTTTTGCACAAGTACAGGTACACTCTCTATTCCCTCATTGTCATAGTTCGATGGGTCGGTAATCTGAAACAACCGGAGAGAGATCAGGCACAGGACCAACGGCTTTACGTGTTTTCGGAGACACATCGTGAAACGCATCATCTTGCTAACTCCGAGTTACTATTAAGAATTTCTTGTCAGAAAACCCCAATAACTGATTTTGGTCCGACCCGTGATTTGAAGGCAGAATCATAATTAACGACCGCGCTTACAATCACAAGACCAACGAGGCAGTCAAGAACAAAATAATGTGGTGGAAAGAAACAAAAAAAAAATGTTAAATGTAACGTGATATTAAAACAATTAAGAGGTAAAAATTCTGATTGCTTTAAATTATTAATAGCGTAAAGCTGTTTAAAATAAAACGTTAAGGTGCCACTATCGTTTAGTCTACACATTAAAATAATATTAGAATTTAAATTTTAACAACACGCAGTGATCATGAGCTGTGAGGTTCCTAGTGAGAAGAGGCCAATTTCGTGAATTTTTTAATAGGAGTGGGGGCAAACGATCATACGGTTTACCTGATGGTAAGTGATTACCGCCGCCCGTGAACAACTGCAACACCAGGGGAATCGCAGTTGCGTTGCCGGCTTTTTAAAAAGGAATAGGCTCTTTCTTCAATATCCTTTGCTATATGTGTGGATTCGTTAGCTACCCCAGTTACCTTGATTTTTACTAGATGTCTACAAAATGGATATTTTTCTAAAATTTGTAAAAAAGAGCTCATATAGTCCCAGTACATAAAAAGGGTCCCCTAATATCTATTGAAAATACCACCCTACTTCCATTCCTGGCGTATTAAGCTAGATGTTTGAAAGGATGATGCATTCGCAGATTTATCCTTCTCTATCTTTTTTAACACGAACCGACTTAATTTTACTGAATATATTCTTAACAGTATGTATAGTGTCTCGCAGGTAGATGTGGTTTAAACAGACTTTCAGAAAGCCTTCGACCGTGTGAACCACATGATACTATTGTATAAGCTCTATGAACTAGGGATCCGTAGTAATTTATTCAGATGGAAGCTTTGAGTATTAAATCATTTGTTTTGATTTATATTTATATATAATTTACATTGGTTTAATACTCAAAGTTTTGTTTTAATCCCATCTGGTGTACCTCAAGGCTCGATCTTAGGACTATTGCTCTACGTTTCTTATTAACATGATATCGCTACTTGCTTACATTACTCAAAATACTTAATGTACGCGGATGACACAAAAATATATATGAGGTTTAAAAATCACACTGGTTGTATTACTGTTATATTCAATCTGATCTCGATAAATGAATGTTATGCTAAAAATATATAGTATATATATACGTATCTTTATAATATTTTACTCGTAAGAAAAATATCATGCATTTTTAACCATGTTAAAATAAATAAATTACATTCCGTTAATTATTTAACCATTATTTGGTGGTTATTTTTCATTTTATGAGTATGAAGCCCCTTTGCGGTTTGAGCTTGCTTTCCTATAGATTGAGAGCCATGCTCGACTCAATTAGGGAAACACTAGTCTTATACATGATCTCAAATATTATGCATCCACTATACACTTTTAATAAAAAGTATAGTGACACTACCCTCTAGAGAAGACTGGCTGAATGACCAGGTCATCTGTAAGGTCGGTAGCCTTATATGGTATGACTGATGAGTCCAAAAACGGGCCTCGGCTCAAATCCTTTTGGCTGTAACATACAGATGTATATGTAAGATAATTAAAAGAACTTCAAAGAGCTGTGAACTTTATTAAATAAATAAAAATAAAAAATACCTTCAGCAGGGCGGTCGGAGCCACTGGGACGACGTCTGGGACCACGGCGTGCTCGGCGAACGACTTCGCGACAGTCGCTATTTCTGTAGCAAGTACCCTAAAGTTTACCATAGTGCTGTCCGCTAATAAAAAAACAATTACGCATCTCAAAATTCGCCTCATTGCGATCGACGCTCACGGAAATAGACTGTAAACTAAGTACGACCTGTCAAACAAACGGTTGACCGACGAATGTAAAGTTCACACAACGCCATCGGTATAAATTGCTTCACACTCAATTGCGTGCACGTGAACTGGCATTGATTATCTAAATTATATAGTTATAGCGTATCACAAAAGCCTGCCCTGTAAAGATATTATACAGGAAGAGCCCGTGCCTCAACATAGGTAGTTACCACGGGTTAGTTTGGATCATAGTGGATTTGGCAGGTAATAGGTAGCAAAGGTGTATAAAATTGGAACTCAAAATTTGTCAAAGTATAAAGTGTAATTTTCTCGTAATTTCTTCGGAAAAAAACCACGTCATCTGTTGCTCGAAACACTTACACTTTAATAAATTGTTACTGTATTTACGTTGTGCAGGGTTAATGGGAACTTGACAACTTCCTGGCAGGGCGTGATATGCGAGTCAAAATGCTACAAATTTGATCACCCATATATATGGCCCAAAATGAACAGGCCTTGAGATATATGGATTTTAAAGATTTTTCAATAATTACCCAGTATTTCAATCAATCAACTGGCTATAGACCATGTCTTGTCATGAGGCAATTTTATTTTCGCCCTTTCGGGCGCTGACAGCAGAAGCGAACATCCACTGAATTAATAATAGAGATAAGACTGTGTGACAGAATATATCGATAAAATTCTATATCTTACTTTTACCTAAATAAATAGAATGGACGTTATGGGTAACCGTAACAACCCGTAACATCCATTCTATTTATGTATCATATTAGTATAATGTCATCATCATTCATCATCATTACAGCCCTTCACAGGTCCACTGTTGAACATAGGAATGTCACAAAGCACGATCCTGAGCCACCTGCATCCATCAACTTTCTCACTTCAGGACTTCGAAATACCGACAGTCAACTCGGCACTGCTGATGAGACTGCATATTTCGACGGAATCAAAGGCTTTCTCGCAGTCCACATACGCAAAACAAAGTGGCAGATTGTACTCTTCGAACTTATGCTAATTTATCAAAGGGTATGTATATGGTCTATGGTCCTAAAACTATTTCGGAAACCGGCTTTATTGGGAGGTGGAAAGTCATCGAGTCTGCATGCGAGACGATTCGTAATAACTCTCGAAAACAGCACGTAGACGTGGCTCAGAAAGGAAATTGGTGTGAAGCTCTTCAAGAGAGCGTTGTCGCCTTTCTTGAAGAACAAGACCATAGCACTTCTGCTCCACGCCTCCATAACCATACCATGGAGGACAGAATTTAAGAGTTTCTGAAAGACTTTAAATACCGGTTTTCCACCCGCTTTCAGAAGCTCTGTTGTAATTCCATCCTAGCCCCGGGACTTGCTGTTTTTAAAGTTCTAGAGAGCCATCACAATCTCGCTCAGACAATCGTCCGGGATTTTATCGGATTAGTATCGGATAAGACTTGCTCTTGGATCGTTACTCACACTTGCGTGTGGCTTCAACGATGACGTGCCCATACTCGTGTAACCTCTCAATTATAGAGTGTAGAAGTAAGGAGTATCAACTCCCATAGTAGAACAGTTGAAAAATAACAGCTCAAAAATTCTCCACAACAGCGCTGGAGTAGCTACTGGGATGAAATGAACTTATCAGTTGTCAACGGTTTAAGTGTGGAGCTAAACTGCTCAATAGCTCTAAAATCTAAAATAATTTTATTTATTAAATATAACCTCGAAAAAGTCGTTTATACCACTAATATTTTTCGGTGCGTTCTTTAAAATTTACCCCGTAGTTATAGTGGCACCACCCTTATTTAATGGTTATCATGGACACTTTTTAATACACAGTCTGTACTCCTCACTTCTACTCTCCATACTCTCAATCTCACTGAAAATCTCAGTGTCCTCGAAACGATGCTGCTATTATTGCTTATAATTCCAACGCCATCCATTAAAGCGAATAAGAAACTTCTCTCGTTTGAGGTCAGTAATATAACGTCAAATTATCTTTTTTGTCTTGTTTATTTAAATAAATTTATTTAATACTTTTATTAATAAAAAAATTGAAATGTAATAATTTATAAAACCTATAAATTTTAGATACGTAGCTTATTACAGTAGTGTCTTTGAGTATTCAACCAACGTGTACTTATTTGGTTGAGGTACAGCTTTGCAGTTTGCATTGGAGTGTGCCCGGGTTCGATTCCAGGAATGTGAAGTCAATTTTTTTATAATTTAGATAAATTTACTAAACACTTTTATAAATAAACAAAAACGTTTGAAATGTAATTACTTTTACAGGAGAAAGAAAGTTGAAAATATCACACGGAGGTTATTTCTAATACATAATAAGTACCTACAACTACTACTTTTCTAAGCCATAATAACAATAAAAAACCAAAAAATACCTAATGTTTTTGTTAAAAGACCGCGGCTTAAAAGATATAAACATGATGAAATAACAGAATAATCTGAAAATTGCGATATGACAAGGAAGAATTTAGTTATATTCATTTTGTTTATAATAAAGAGTAAGTAATTATAATTATTTATGAATGTTAGTTCTTTTACTTGTAGCTTAACAGTTTTTCAAAGTCAAATACAAAAAAATAAACGAAATGCAAAATTACCTATTATGGAGTGTAGAAGTAAGGAGTACCAACTCCCATAGTAGAATAGTTGAAAAAGTGTCCATCTTTAAGTAAATAACAGTTCAAAAACTCTCCACTACAGCGCTGAAGTAGCTACTGGGATGAAATGAACTCAGCAGATGTCGACGGTTTCAAATGTGCTGCTAAACTGCTCAGTAGCTCTAAAATCTATAATAATTTTATTTAGTAAATATAACCTCGAAAAAGTCGACTATCTCACTAATATTTTTCGGCACGTTCTTTAAAATTTAGCCCGTAGCTATAGTGGCGTCACCCTTATTTAACGGTTGTCCATGGACACTTTTTGATACACAGTCTGTACTCTTTACTTCTACACTCCATATTACCTATCTTGTGAACCATAGAACTAGAATATTTAGAATTAACATTTCTACTTAATTTAAAATCTATAAAAAATTATAGATTGTAAGTATTGGAACTATTGATTTAAGTAAATATTTTTCGAAGAACACAAAGGACGAAGCTTAAAGTACTCAGGTCTCAAAACGTTTCATAAAAACGTGAATTGAATTGTTTGGTATATATACAACTTGTCCCAAAATTCAACGATAAACGGGCACCAGAGAATGGACCTGCTCATGATTACTCGAGAAAAAATAAAAAGGAAAAAAACTAAATCGTTTTTGAAACTACAAAAAAAATTTAAATTCTTCGAAAATCAATACCCCGATATGGTATTTTTAACTACCATGAGCACATTTCTAATTTTTTTTGTATTTTTTTGTATCGGCAACCTTAGTAGTACTGCTATCTACCACAACCCTTATAAATCCCAGAATACATGTAGCTTTTACACAAAAATCAATCAAAATTATTTTTCCCCCTAAAACTTTGAAATATTTTTACTTTCAGTTCATTTTCACTCATCGTGGTGTAAAAAAAGTACTGACACTACTATGGCAAGTTTTTTAAAAATTGACGCAACTAACCAAGATTCTAAAATGGTATAATACTCTAGAAAACTTCCGTGTGGCACAGGATTTTTGATGAAAAATTTTGCATGAATCAAAACAAAGGGTACAAATATTTACATTTATTTTATTTTTTTTGCATAAACCGTGCCACTTTGACATTTTTAATAGAGATCTTAAATAAAAAGGTTTTTTTTTAAAGTTTTATTTCAAAATCACCCACATCCTTAAATTTTCAAGTAACACTCAAATCAAATAACAAAAAAGTAACACATAAAATAATTTCACTGTCCCGTCTATTTGTTTATTAGATCTAGATCTTACTTGTTATCTTATCCATTAAAGCATTCGGGCGTAACCTCGCTAATCCGTTAGTTTAACCTCACTGTCGAGGTCACTTGGCTCTTGTAGTCCCCTTAACTGCAAAAAAATTCGGTTCTATCGGAGGTTTAACATTGCTATTTTTACAAGCATGGTGAAATAATGACTCAACCAATAAACTAACATTTACCATACTTGTAGAACGCATAGGTAAACCACCGTTTGTTTTTTGTACAATGAGAGCAATACCATTTCTGCGATTCCTCACAGTTTCTTTTGGTAGAGCAAGCTAAAGAATCGTCACATTCAATTTTCTTTCGTATCGCTCAAAAAACAAATCCTGTAATATATCCGACACACTGTTTAGACATTTCGTTTACGTTTGAGACAGGTACTACCCAAAAGAGGTGTAAAAATTCACTTATTCGTCGAGGGGTAGCGAATCTATTGCTTCTGAACGATATTTTTATTGTACGTATATTTTTAACATCGCTGTAGTCATCTACATCAAATTTGTCGATTTTAGCCCCTATTGAAAATCAGAAGATACAGTCAACATTGATACGTCGTTTTCCTGGACATTACCCATGGAATTTGTTATTTCATGGTGAATTAACAATTGATTAACATAATTATTAACATTTACAAACTGAGCGACGGTTGGATTTGAACACCATCCACCTCGGATACGAATCGCAAAAAGTAACTCCATATGATCTTGGCTTAACTTGTACATCAACAAGTAATTAAGTTCAGGCTTATCTGTTTAACATAGATGTCGAAAATATGAAAAACAGAAATAACTGCATTGTAAAAATCCCAAAACACGTGCTTTACGGCGTGATTGTATCACCAATCTATCATCATATAGTTTTATTTTGCTAAGGTAATTAATTTCATTCATTATTTTAGACCTCCACCTTTTCTCGTTTGTAGTCCTGAGTGGACTTTTATATCCACACCCCCATGGATTTCTAACATTCAAAAAATCAAAAATACAAGTGTTTGAGCTGCGAGATAAACTTTCATTATCCACTTCATCATTTCTT